TTATTTACCTGAATAACAATACGTTTCCCGTTTATTGCACCAATACAATTGACGAAATTCCACATATTGTTAAATTCGTTAGCAATTCTCTTCCAATCATCTTCTGTTGGTTGTTTGAGAATAATTGGTTGTAAAATATTCCAAATTGCTGTAGTAGTCTCTAATATTATATTCGATACTGTACTTTGGCCTACTCGAAACTGGTAACTAAGTGATACCATGCTATCCCCACATGCAAGATAGCTGCAAGTAGCAATTTATTAAATATTATAAATAATATAAGTTAATAAATAATTAATATATCTTTAATAATAAGTTTTCTTACCGTAATGTCAAAGCAAGTCTTGTTATTGCTGGTATAGGTGTACGAAGTATAGTTACTGACTTGGTTATATATGGCCCAATGAGACCAAGTAAACAATCAAATTGTTCTGATGTCATTCGTAAATAGTTGAAATATTTATCAGGTTGGGTCAAACGCATTTCTTTAATAAGTTCTTATGCACCAACTTTGTCTCTTTGTTTTTCACGGAATATACTTCGTACCCAAACAGTACGTCTTTTCAACATTCTTCGACGTCTTAATAATAAATAAGCGTATAATGTGAACAAAAACCTACGATATTTATTGTTACGGTATTCTTCCATTTTTAAAAAATTTTTCCGAACACTTTTATTAATGTAATTATTCACAAGATTAAAATAGCTTACACTTAGGAAAGATGTCAAAGATAATACGTGTGAATCAACAGAACAGCAGAAAAGCAGAAAGCAGAAACCAGCGCGAGTTCTGATTGGCTTCTGCTTTTCTGCTTTCTGCTTTTCTGCCAAGGTGTGAATCCGGCCTTACAGTACCAGTAGAGTACCTGAACAAGAATATATTTTCCGTACCGGCTTCTTTCCCCTTTTTTCTCTTTTGATTATTATTAAAAATTGTACATACATTAAAAAAAAACAATTATTTTATTATAAAAAATTTATTTATTAAACATTTCAGAAATATGTCAAACATTTGTACAAACATTTACATTGTACGAAGAAATATTTTCTACCCACCCACCCACGCACCCACATATGCACTTACACACGGACAACCGATTTTTTCGAAGAATTGGTACCAAAAATTTGCTAATTTTTCGGGGAGGGTTACTATGTGATATTTTTTTAGTTTTACACCCCTACCCATCCACCCACGCACCAACACACCATGTTTCACATTTATGGACCGATTTTCTCGAAATTGGTGTTAAAATTTTGCAAATTTTTCGGGGATGGCTACTATGTAGTTTTTTTTTAGTTTTACACCCCCACCCATCCACCCACGCACCCACATACGTACTTACACATGGACAGCCGATTTTTTCGAAAAATTGGTACCTAAATTTTGCTAATTTTTCGGGGAAGACTACTATGTGATTTTTTTTTAGTTTTACATTCCCACCCATCTATTTGGGGGGTTTTGTAACATCACCTTTTTCACCCCCACCCATCCACCCACGCACCCACATATGCATTTACACACGGACAACCGATTTTTTCGAAAAATTGGTACCAAAATTTTGCTAATTTTTCGGGGAAGGTTACTATGTGATTTTTTTTTTAGTTTTACACCCCTACCTATCCACCCACGCACCTACACACTATGTTTCATATTTATGGACCGATTTTCTCGAAATTGGTGTCAAAATTTTGCAAATTTTTCGGGGATGGCTACTATGTGGTTTTAATTTTACACACTCACCCACCCTCTCACGCACTCATACATGCATCCACATACGCACAAATATACATTTATGTTGTTGCCAAATTTAAAAAAACACCCCTTATGGGTAATAAGAGTTAATATCACTTGACGTGACTCATTTCATAAATGAATATATAAATAAGTGACGTGAGTCATTTCATAAATGACTATATACATAAGTTGCTGGTTTCATATGTTTAATGTCATTGATAAAGTAAATAAATTGATCGAAACAGGAAATATTAAATATTAAGATAAAAGAAATAAATAAATCGAATGAAATTGAAAAGGAATTAATGAATAAAAATAATAAACATGAAATTACAAGTGTTACTGGACAGAGCGAAATAGAGCAAGATAGAGAAATTGAAGAATTTAAAAATGGTAAATGTTAAAAAATAAAATAATTTACAAATATTATAAATATTTTACTTGGTATTAAACTTTTAATAATTCTGTTAATAATTATTTTGGTTATAAAATAGATTACTTTAATAATTATTTTATTTTAGAAATAAATGAATCAAATGAAAATGAAAACGAATTAATGAATAAAAAGAATGAACATGAAATTAAAAGTGTTGCTGGAGATAGCGAAATAGAGCAAGATAGAGAAATTGAAGAATTTAAAAATGGTAAATGTTAAAAAATAATTTAAATTGTAAATCTTATAAATATTTTACTTGGCATTAAACTCTTAATAATTCTCTTAATAATTACTTTGGTTATAAAATAAATTAC